GGTTCATTTCCCCTCTCGTGCTGATAAACGTAGCGAGATGATCTAGTGCTTCCTCCCCCAGATCAAATATTTGCCCCAGTCATAATCGGGGAGTGTTGGATGTTGTTAATTTGAGGCAGGGGGAAACATGAAGGCTTTTAAGTGTGTGACGGGGGGTTGGGCGAGGTTCAGGGGTCAGGGCCGCTAATGACAACGTGTTGAGGAGGGCTGGGTGTCAGCGTCACCAGAGCCGCTCTGTTGGTGGTTCTGCATGTTTTCTCCTCCTCGCTCCTTCCCTCTTCCCTTTCTTCTCCGGTTTATATACGTCCTGTTGGGTTACGTCCATCCGAGCTGATGTGGCCCAGCTTTGTCCACTTAGCATTTCCTGTGTATAAAAAGCTACCTAATGGCACCGGGCCACATGGTGACCACCGTCTCCCTCACCTCTGCTCGCTCCCTTTCCTTCTCTCTGCACCGGCGTGGGCCACCTCTGATTGAAAGCATCCCATAATTAGCCATTCTGTAGCCGGTGGTCGCCGCGGTGAGAGAGCGAGAGGCTGGTGGAGGACGCTGGGTCTCCTCTCCCTCTCTCTCGCTCATCCCCTCACATTACAGCTTCCTGTATTGATTGCTGGGCCTGGTGATGACGAGGGCCGGCTGATGAAAAGGAGGGCTATTTCTATCCAGGATGTCAGAGTCCGTATTGATCGCTGCCTCCTTCCTACACACACACACGTACACACATGTAGAGCTGCAGAAAGATATTTATTACGTATAAGGAAGCTCGTAAGCATAATCAAGCCCTCTGCGAGTGTGTCGGTATCCATTTTGCGGGATCGGTTTCCTTCCTTGGGCTGTTGGGATGACAGTAGCTGCTCCCGAGCCGAGGCGCTGGTGTGGTCTTCCAGGCAGGCAGGGGGTGGTGCTGGGATGGTTACACCACTGACCCCAGGATTTCTGCTGCTGACCTTTGGGGTTCCTGATCAAATGGGGGTTTTGTTCCTGGCCTCCCCCCCCAAAAGTCCAGCCACTGATCAGGAGTTGCTCCTCCATTGGAGCTGAACAGAATGCGCTGGAGGCATTTCTATGAACGTCCCCCCTCCTCCTTTTTCCTCCAGATTCTCTCCCTTATCCACCTCCCTGCGCTAGGCCACTCCCCCATTCTGTGTTCTCCCTCTCTCTCTCCCTCTCTCTCTCACACGTTCTCCTTGGCGTTCTCTCATTCCCTCTCCCCCGGCCGTGCCCTTTCCTGACCTCTTTGCGTAAACTGAAACGGGTCAGGACACCCGCCAGGTCACTCGAGAGGAGGGGACTCGGGTTACAGGTTCTGATTTTGTGATTTTTTTTTCTTTCTTTTTCTTTTTCACACACACACGCACACACACACACACACACACACACACACACACACAGCAGCTCTGAGGCACACATATGTAAATCCACATGCTGCATTTTATTACGTAATTGTGGAGCTGTTGCAAGAGCGTGCTCCAGAACTCATCTGAGACGTGAACGCGAGCGTGATACCACTTCCTATGTGGAGGTGATCTGTGTGTGTGTGTGTGTGTGTGTGTGTGTTTTCCTGCGTTTCTGCAGAACAAAAAGGGGTTGTGTGGTTTCCTCACTGGTGCATTGTGGGAACTAAAGGGGGTTGGAGGAGAGGGGATAGAGTGCTGAGACAAACCACTCAACTTTGACCTGGAGAGACAAGCGGCGCTGAAGACAGGAGAGGAAGAGGAAGGGCTCGTGTGCCACGGCGCCGAGACCAGTCGATGGTTATTCATCATTATTCAGAATACATTGTGTTTGGTGGGGGGATGGGCACAACTTTTGGTCCGCTCGCTGCTGATTCCTGCTGAACGAATGCCTCTCAGTCATTTGAATCCTCTAATGTTTGTAATTATAAAATCGACCGGCGCTTTAATTCCAGCGGCCGGGGTTCAGGGCGTTTTCTTGGTTAGTCGTTTATCGGGGCGGGTTTCGGCGTCCGAGCAGTTTCAGGTCGATGATAAGTTAATGATTATCGGATCGTAGAATTTGTTGGTTTTGTTTGAGTTTTTCTGGACTCACCTCACCCCTTTTTCCTTCCCTCTCTCCTACATCTCTGGTGCAGAATCTCCCCTCTCGCTCATTTCCATTCCCTGATCCTCGACCATTCCTCAAAGCCAAATCCAATATCTCGACGCCCAAAACCGACGAGTCCTCCATCAGCAATCGACTCCAGGCAAAGTGGCCTTGGCTGTAACCCTCAGTGACTGCAGGCAGAGAAACAGAAAGGAGAGATAACAAATGAAGGGATGAATAAATGAATGAATTATTTCCATTGAGTTCGTGACTTTGCTGCTTTTTTCTTTTTCTTATAAATTGTGAAAATGTGGAGAAAAGAAAAGCTTTGTGGAAAACTTTGATTCAGACCCGGTGGTCGTGTGTTTGTTTGTGTTTTTTTGTGGAGGTTAAAGTGAAAATCTGTTTATTTTTTGAATTTAGTTTATTTGTATTTTTTAAATTTAAGGCACAATTAGTTTCTTATAATTAGTGCGATCGATGTGGCGTGAAATCTGGAGCGCGTTTTGATTTCGTAGCTGTTTGTGTTGTGATTCAGTCGAGAGAGTTTGAAGTTTAAGTCACAATTTAAAATAATTAATGGAAATATGAAAATACTGACAGAGTTTTTAAATAAAGAAAAATTATACGATTACATGCCAGTGTCTGTATGAGGGGTTTTCAGTTTGAATTAATTTTAGTATTTCTGTTAATGAATTCTGTGTTTCACGGCCTTTCAAACACATTTTTAAAGTCCAGAAGTATTAGTTCCAGCAGCAGCAGTTTGAAATAAACTGCAATGAGCTCATTTCTTTTAAATTAAAAGTATAAAAAAATGCATGCATTAAGTTTGTAATTAAAAAAAAAACTTTTAAAGTTAAAGGAATAAAACTAAAAAGAAAAACTCCTCATAGAAGCTGTCTGCATCAAATGTTAAATATGTTAAAACCAGAATCAAATGAAAAAAAACTGATTGAAAATAACTGATTAATTTAATTTAATACTGAGAACCTATTTTATTCTACACTGAAAAGCTTTTTGAGCTTTTAGAAAGCCTTCATCTGTTCCAGTGTTGTTTTGAAAACTGTGATTTTAATGTTGTTGGAATAAAAGCTAAAAGATTTAAAAAAGAATCTGAATAATTTGTTTTGATCTCATCAGTCAGAGTTTTAAACGGTGCACCAAAGATCTAAAGATAATTATTTTGATGACACATTTTCACTTTTAATTTATAAGTGCACTTTTTTAAAATAAACTAAATTAGTTTAAAGGATTTTTTCATATATTCTCAGCCTAGTTGTTTCCCAGAAGTAAAAATAAAAACTGCTGGTAAAACTTTCTGCACTGATTTAATCCACATTTTTATTCCAATCTTCCACTTTTATTTTCATCATGGCACACTGGTAACCGGACAGACGGAGTGCTCAGTCACTTTGCCTTTCCTCACTCTTGTACACATTTATTTTTATTTTTTAAAAACTCTTTTACAAATTCATTTCTATCTACGAGCCACCTATAGAGCACCTCCGGCTTCCTGTAACTGCGGTCGTCACACAGAGTCAGAACTGCTGCCGTACACATTTCCCTCTGCAGTTTCACGTTTGATTCCCTCTGATCATTTGTTCCTTTCCCTTCCTGTGTCTCCTACACATCTGTCTCTACAGCGGGCGCTGCTTTTACAGATACCGTGTGTGTTATTTATAGGCCTTGATGTATAGTAGGTAGTAGGTTTGCTCTGCACACTGCACGCCCGTGTGGGTGTGTGTTTACCTATGCCGAGATCCGCAGGGCTCGCTGCGATTCATGAAGGTCACGGGTACAGCGCCGTACGTTCTGTGTGATCAACAAGACATAAATCATTGTCCGGTGGTTATGTAGTAACTAAATCAATAATTCCGATCATGTAGATAAGATGGATGGTGGATGTGTTGAGAGAAAATGATTGCATGGGTGTAGCGCTCTTGTCTTTTTTTTTTTTGCCCTGCAGAGGGAATAGGAAGTGGTGTCTCTGCGAAAAGTAGATAAAGCGAGCATACCAAGGACACTGTGTGTGAGATAAGTCCTCCCTGTGCGCAAACTGTCATGGCAGTTGGTTGCAAACCACGTACAGTCAATCCACAGCGTTGGCAGTGATGTCTTTGTCTTTCATTGCGGTGCTGCTGGATGTCGCCGCATGCAGCAGGAGCAGCAGCAAACTTGGTCGGTGTTAATAAGTGTTGGTTCTTCTGTGACGGTTATCTGGATACGGGAAGAGCTGTTTGTTTGTTCACAGCTCTGCTAATATCTCTGGAAACTGTTCAATATTTACGTGTTAGACTCACCCTGATAGGTGCGGACTTCCTCGGCTGAGCTTTGAGCTGCTGCGCCGATAGAAAGTGAAACGGACGAGTCTCTTCTTCTTTTTTTTTTTTAAATTGAAAAATTAGTCTTTCTGCTCAAGACAGCGGCTCTCTTTACCTTTCATTTGCATAATGAAGACCATTAAAGTGCAATTGTCTTTTGTCATTCGCTGTTAAAAAACACCCAGCAGAAGCAGCTATGGCGAAACGCATCAGGATGGATTTAAAGCCTTTAAAAATGACATATGTGAGATGTGTGAATTGCCTTTAATGGGCTGCCAAATTATTCAACATTATTCAAGGACCTGGTTGTCTACGATAATTTAAATGACTGCGATATAAATTTTCCTACGGCTGCGTTACACTGAATTGTGCTCTTAAGAGAATCGTACAAATCACACACATGAACCCTCACAGAGTTATTGTCATATAATATAATCTATCAGCCCCAAGGGAACGAGTGTAACTTTGATATTAAAATTAGGGCAATTATTATTACCACGAGCACCAACTTATATCATACTTTTATCTCCTAACACAGCGGGCGGTACCTGACTTAAATCCAGACCCTCGTGTATTGCATCGAGCTATAAGCATCTGCTGCTTTCAAACGGATAATTGCTTTTTCTCTCCCAACAGAGCAAACTGGTGATGGAGGGTTTCCGCAGCTTAAAGGAGGGTGAGCAGGTGGAGTTCACCTACAAGAAGTCCTCTAAGGGCCTGGAGTCCCTGCGGGTGACCGGACCTGGTGGGGGACCCTGTGCAGGCAGTGAGAGGAGACCCAAAGGGAAGGTCCCACTCCAGAAACGCAAACCAAAGGGAGACCGGTGAGTATAACCTGAAAAATGCAAAGAAAAAAAACAACATGTGCATGATTTGGTTCTATGTGGATGTAACGAGCACATGTGAATGCATCTCATTGAACAAAACCTGAATGTATGTGAGCTCGTAGTTCACAAAGCAGGACCGAGCTATAGTAAAAGGAACGTGCCTTATATGTACATCTCACCGCAGCCAGCTATTTCTGAGTGGGCTAAGATTATAGATTAAATCTATTCAATCTGCCCGAGTACATGGCTGTTGCTATGGTTATTGTGCGCCATAATAAGGAATTGAATAGGGCACTTTGCCTGCCATTGCCGCTATTTTAAATCAATTTGCCAGCTTTTACATTAGAGGCGGTATTAGCACAGGGGTAGATTGGACTTATATGCATCTCAATGCGGCAGTAGCTCAATCAATTGTTTTGTCCTCAGTGAAATCCTGAAGGGTGCTTTTGCTAAAAATCTGTCACAGGGAGCCGTCTGGAGCTCCTTGAAAACGGCTGGAGGTTTAAGCAGACTGCGATGCTCGTCTTCGTGCAGAAAGAGAACGTATGCAGGAAAAACGCTGCCAGGTAGAGGCGAGTAAACAGCGTCTATAGGAAGGCGATCACATGATCTCAAGGCTGCATTTACATCAAGTCCAGCTCTCTTTATGTTGCCGCATCACAGCTGCATCAGTGGAGCACCGCCGTGTTATCCAGTTTTTCAAAGTGTGAAGAGAAAAGGAAGAAACCGTATCTGCCAGAGAAGCTCCCTGATTGTTTTACACAGCTGAATAATTCAGGTTATTTGGGATAATTGATCCAGTGTTAGGTCAAGTGTCTACCTTCTGCTAAGGTGGTGGCAAGGCGGTATTGGATTCAGAGATGGCAGGTAGATGTCTGTGATGTCATCCGTCTTTGTGAGCGCGCTCAGTGCGAGCAGCTGCTGTGCTGCTCTGACCTCTGCTGGTTACTCCGCCATGCTAACATCCAGTCCGTTCTTTGCACTGGTGCTGCTTGGATGAGCGTTAAGAACTGTATAAACACTTCAGTGGTTCTGGAAATAACATCAGAGGACAGTAATTATGAGGAGAGGGTATTTTGGGAAACATAATGAGCAGAAGAGCAGGTACGTCCACCACAGGTTACAGGATCTTCTTGGTTTATGAAGCACTTGTGGGTTTTGTTGGAAAAAAAAAATACTAATTCCCAATAAAAACGCTTCTCACCTGATCTGAAGCGACACCTGAAGTGATGTCTGTGTTTATTAATTAAATAAACCAGTCTGCTAAACTCTCTAACTAAAGTCTGTCGTCTTCATCAGGGTGGTTTCTAGTTTCTTCATATATCAGTTATCACAGGTCATCAGTTAGTTATGTGATCATTAATTTCTATATTTAAAAATCTGTATTTTTTTATTTTTTTACAGAATAAAATAATTAATTTTAAAATGTTTGGAGTGAAAAAAGCTGACAAGTGACTGAAGAGCGAGAGTGTGTGACGCGTACATATTGATCATTCTTTATCTTGTTGCTTCGATTATTTCCGTTGCATTTCTGAGCCTGAATTGTTTCCTGAACATGCAGGAGTTTATTTTATTTCAAGCCTTTGAATCAAATGAAACGGTGGAACGTCGTATTTTGAGCCACGGGCATCTCTTTTTTTAATTTCATTTAGAAGTTCTGAATCACTACTTGCTTTTAAAAACTTCTAGAAACCTTAATTTTTATCGAAATAATTTGCTTTTTATTGCTACGACAAGATTTGACATTTATTTAGCGCATAAATACTAAAGTTTGTTCAGTTTTTTCTTTTAAAACAGCACAGTGAATTGAATCCTAACTGCTGAAATGGGAGAACAATCTCCTGAAAGCTGCTTTAGAGTCTTTTATAATTACATTTCTTAATTATTTCAGATTTTCTTCAAAACTAAAGTAGCCCTAGAACCAGCGTTTTTATAATTCTTAATTACATTCTTTATTTTTTCTCTACAAAACGCAGCTAAAATATATTTGTGGGTCATAAGAAGCATGAAAAATAGCCTCGTTAAATTCATTTGTTTAACTCAGACCCTCAGGTTGGTGTTTTTATTGGATGTAAATGGAGAAAATACAAGTGAAGCACTGAAGAGAGAAAAACATTTCCACAGAAAAACCTGTCATGATCTGGTTCCTTATTTACTGGGAGCAATTTGCAGCCCAGTTTGCTCCGTCAATCCCTGTTTTGGGAATCGGCCGCTGATGATTTATGATAATTCTGCTCCTGCTGCTTTTAGCTTCTACATAAAGACAACATTACGTGGCCATATACTTCAATTAAAACGAACATGAAACACAGCGATGTGTAACGCTGCTTCGGGAGAAATTCCAATTAAAAAAAGTCAATGCATCAGCTGTTTTAGGCTTTGCTGCCTACGAGGGATTAAGCTTTGTGTCCCAGAACAACAGCAATAAAAAGAAAAAAAACTCTTAACGATGGCTTGTTTAGGGCATCCAGCCTTTAAAAAAAGAGCATGTGACAAATTGCAAAGAAAACCGATTTGATGTAGTGCCAAAACATCAGAACGGCTGAAGTCTTGGTCACCTTCGCCGTTGTGCTTTTCCATTGTTGCTCTTTCAGCGGTCTTGTGCTTCTTGTCACAGTTAATAACACAGAACAGTTTGGCATGTCACAGGGTGCCACTCAAGTCCTGCCTGGTCCACAGCAATACCCAATGTCATACCCCCATCTAGTGGTCAGTTTCAGTCGGAGCAGGTTTTCCAGCGCTAGTGCCGATGCTTCACGAGGGTAAAATGTGAATCCTGATGTTGCTCCAAATAAGTTTCATTTTGCCTTCAAACTATTTTCAGATTTCAAACTAGAAAATCTGTCTTTTGTTTGGGAATAGCGTGATGAGGGTCTCGTGTGTTTTTACTCACCCTGCGTGTTCTCTCCTTCCTCTGCAGCTGTTATAACTGTGGAGGTCTGGATCACCATGCCAAGGAGTGTGGCCTGCCCCCCCAGCCAAAGAAATGCCACTACTGCCAGAGCATCACGCACATGGTGGCCCAGTGTCCCCACAAGGCGCTGTCGCCCGCCACAGGCTCTCAGGACCAACATGCGTCTACCTCGGCCTCCAGCCCAGGGACCGGGCCCTACCTCTGCCTCCCGGAGGAGGAGGAGCGCTCCGGCTCGTCTCCCCTGGAGGGCTCCTCCTCGTCGCCCGAGGAGCCCCACTCACACCGCGGCTCCCGGACCCAAAGGTGGAGGAAATCCTGAAAATAGTCCATGGAGGTGAACCCTTTCACCGCTAACCTCTGACCCTCATGTCTCCCCTCAATCAAGGTTACCTGAAGCCCCCCCTCATCTACCTCACACCTGTGAAAAAAAAATGGGAGGTCTTAATTTCTTTACTTTTTATTTTTTTATTTTTTTATTTTTCTAACCAGCGCAGCTATGGCAACGATCAACGGGGTACGGACGTGCGTGAATGTGTGTGACTGACTTGCAGTCATCTGGTGCAGCTATGGCAACCACCGCTGGAATGGTGACTGCAGGGAAAGACTGTTTTCTTGTTTCAATCTGTGCAGCTCGAGAGTGAAACAACGTGGTATGAGTCTAGGCTTGATGATAGTTTTTTGTTTTTTTTTTCCTCTTCCTTTTGTTCCCCTCGGACCTAAGTGTTGGCCATTTTGAATGCTTTTTTTGCTCCACATGTGTTGCCGATTTAAAGCCACAAATTTATATCCTGTAGGCCTAATCATTCCTAAAAAAAATCATCCTTTTAGCACACGCGGTAGCTCGTCTTAAGAAGGATTAGAAGAAGACTTTTAAAAGCTCAAGACCCTCTAAAGTGATAATCCAGACCCATAGGACTGTTAGCTTGGCTTCTAAAGATCTTTAGGGAAACTTTATGGATTCCAGAGGGAATATTACACAAAAAAAACAAACCACAGTGAGCTGCTAGAATACACTCAATACATACCTCTTACATGAAACAGACCTCTTACATGAAATAGACCTCTTACATGAAATAGACTGGACCAACTGATTGTCAAAGTGCGAGCGTGTGCAAGACTGAGTCGTGTGCTTGTGCTGTGCGTGTTGTGCATGATGCTCCGACTGTCTGACGGACTGGAGCACCTGTTTGTCAGGTGTGAGTCAACACTATTAACCCCTTCCTGTTTCCTTTTTTTGTTTTTGTTTTAAATCATAGGTAGACACATCTTATGTAAGACATCATGTAATCCATCTAGATCATAGTTTAGAATCAAAGTAATGAAGCGATCATTAGATTTTGGTTGTTGCATAATTAGTTGGAAAAATAACATTACAGTTTATAAATCATAGTATAAGTCATTAATATATATGTAAAGTCGCAAGATATAATTGAAATTCTATTAACTTTAATGCATATATATAAGGATTTAGCTCTGACATAGATGCATAGCCCTGTATATTGCATGGGATACGTTCCTGGTGTGTGAAAACTCTCTCTCTATTTAACCGTTTTCATTCACTACAAATCAGACCGGACTTTTTATTTGTAATTTTTTTAAAGAAAACTTTACTCCACGCCTTCTCTTGTTCATTAGTTCAAACACTCACTGGAATCACCACTTACACAGCAGCACAAAGACTCACCACGGTAATAAACGTGCAGTCTCAGACCATTACAGTATCACCATAGCTGTTTTTTAACCTACTTAATACCTCACTAATTCTTCCTTTTTTTGGAAATGAATGTCAAGCTGTTTGCTCTCCCAGCTGTGCTACAGTAAGATCGAACCACCTGTAATTCCTCTTCCATCTGTGCCTACCATTTGTTAGCCAGCACCAGCCAGGTAATGCTCACTCCTGCTCGGGATGAGGCCACGTCACTGCTGCTGCTTCAGACTCACTGAAAAGGGAGAGAGACATAGAGAGAGACATAGAGAGAGAGAGAGAGAGAGAGAAAGAAAAGAGTGCTGCTTTTGGTATAACTTGAATCACAAGCATGGCTTTAGTGGCACTTATCTGTGACCTAACAACTCTTCTCTGACCATACTGAATGTGAAAAGAGCTCATCCGACAGTCGACTCCTCACAAAACTCACGTCGGGTCGCTTCGGAGTTGTATCTTAATGTTCTGACAAATCAAATAACTTTGTATGATTATATCAAACTTAGCTTGTGTGTGTTTTTAAAAGCTCTACGTAGACAACCAACTGTTTTTGGTATATTTCTATACCAAAGAGTTTGGCTTTATTTTTTTTGAAGGCATTTAAAGTTAAGACGTACTGAAGTGCTTGCTATCCTTGTTCTTTCACAATAAGAAGGACTTATTGCTGAAAGCACAGCAGAGCGGTTGTTTTTTTCCTTTCCTTTCCTTTTTTTTGGTGGGTTTAATTTTTTTTTTTAATGTACAGCTTTTTGAATGTGTGCGTGAGTTAAAAATCAAATCTCAACAATGCAGCATGACAGAAGAAGAAAAAAAAGAGAAAGTGAATGACCAAACCACAGAAGGAGCACAGCCCATGCTCAGATCTCTATGGAAAAAAAAACATCTTTTTGTATGATGTATTTTTACATTTTTACACACAATTCCTCTCAGGATGATGAACTGTTCTCAGGGAATTAACCAAAAAAAAAAAGTGTATTTTATTCTTTTGGGAATCATCCACTGACTGACTCAACAAACTCTGTAAAGCAATGGTGAAGAGACGTGTGTAACCGATTCATGTACTGATATTAGCAACTACCTCTTGAGTTATACATAGTTGTGCATTTCTTTTCGTTTGTATATTTTTTGATGAGCTTGTATGATTAACTTTAGGTCTCTATTATACTGAGGTGTTGTGTGAGAAGTTCCCTAGTGTTGCCACAGACTTCCTGGTCTTCCTTCCCAGATTTTATTTCTTTTTCTGCAAAACTCTCCTTTTTTTTTTTCCTTGTTTTTTTTTTTTGTTTTTATTTGTTTACAGCAAAAGCCTACCTCATATGCGCTGTTCCTCCACAAACTCCTTACCTCCTCCCAGGCCCTCTACCTCCTCCATGCAGTCGTTTGTTAATTATATTGCCACTTGTCGCACTAGAGTCACACAGCATTTTCAACAAATCAGCCCTGAAGCGGCTCGTCACTCGTGACTCCAAATATACCTTACAATCAAAGCCCTTTTTTGAAGGTTTTACACAAGTTTTCACGACGGGCATGTTTGTCTCACACATCCAGGGTGACGTTTTGTTTTGTTTTTTCTGCCAGCTCGGTGTCTGTATACACTCATCACTCAGCTGCAGACAGCCAGAGAGTTTACCTCAGTTTGTTGGGCTAGCTATAGACATGTTCAATATGAAATATTTTACAGTCAGTGTGAACACATTTTGAAAGTACATGGACTGTTGTTTTTAGTTTGTAAGTATTTTATCATAACCATTTTTTTTGTAACCACTTGATATGATTGGCTTAAGGTGGAGAAGAATAGGATTATACTCGGACAAGGAGTGCCTGTTTCTACGTTTGATCTGTCTGACCTATTACCAAATGGATGTTATTTTCTCTTTGGGCTCCATGCTAATGGCCTTTGTCAGCCATTTTTTATACAGCTTCAGATAATCAGAAGTTGTGTGGTTTGGAGATGATGCCCCCTTTTGTTGCTCGCAAACTACATTTTGTGGTTTCGAGCGGCATCGTTAACAGTTAACATGAAATCAGTAGGTTTTGTACTAATGGTGACATTGCATAGATGACATTCTAAAAAAAAAAAATGTTTTATGAAGATGAATATTGTTGTCAGTACTTTTAAAAGAAAACTAACTCATGAGATTAAAGGTTGATTTTGCATATGACTGCAGTATTACAGTCCAGACTCAGCTGAGAGAATCACTGTGTTGCAGTAGGCCTACGTATGGAACTAAACGCCAGTTATGAACAAATTACACGACCGTGGGAAAATATAGTTTTATTGTTGTTATTAGCTTTATATTTTCTTCCAATCAATGTAACTACTGATTGATCTCTTGTTTATTGTTCAGTATTTGACACAGCCAAGAAACCCTTTTATATGAAAGACAAATCCCCCCTCAAGGTACTAATAATCAGATTATCATCGAGGTTCGTCATATCGGATAACAAATTGGTAGAATGGTGGCATTAACACCTGAGTTTTGGATCATGCAAACATGACACAAAGCAAGAAAAGATCCGTGCGATCATGTAACATTTAACAGAGTTTTACTGAACATTGGTGATCCTGAACGCACCACGTGTGTCTCAGCAGAGGGCTCAGTTTGAGTCCCAGGCCTAGAAAAGGGAACATCGCATTACCACATGCAATTTACTACAAGGATGATAAACGTCAAGGAAAGTGACAACAAACTTGACATATTCCAATCCAAATTTAATGTAAAATGTACCAATCTGAGAGTGGACGCTGGTGCATTTCTGAGCCGGTGCACCCCACAGTGATGGTAATGAAGAAATGAAATGTCACCAACATGCAGCGCGTTAGGCGTTGTTCTAAGAAGACTGTGCCACTCTTACTACACCATGCAAACTAAGATTGTCACGTTTATTTTGGTATAAATCTGAACCTTTCTTCCTTGTGTTTTATCCTACATTTCATTGTAAAGGATTCTGCAGAACTGTGAAAGGATAATTCAGGCTTTACGTTTGTCATGTTGTTTTTGCCTCATGTTAAGGAGCTTTGTGGGAACTTTCTTTCAAATTCAACTGTGAAAAAAACACATATCCTCACGTTAGAGATAACAGCCCTGTCTGAGATGAGTTGTTCAGCATTTTGGGAAATATCTGAGTAGACTTTGCTGGAGAGTTAGCGAGCTAACTAGATGAGAACAAGGATATGATATGAGGCTAGCCTGGCCTTCACTGTGCGGCTTCGGCTAGCAACTGGTTAGCTTAGCTTAGCAGACGAAAAAACACTCTTAAAGTTTTCCTAAAGCCCTAAAACTCGGGCAGAATGTTGGCAAACAAGTCGTGCGTACTTTAAGGAGCTTTAGAAGTGTCGATAATCGGGTTTCGTTACGTTTTGACAGCTCAACTAAGCTCAGCTAATCGCCTGCTAGCATGAGGACGGCTACAGTTCGGGCCTCCTGTGTAACATTACGGGGCCCGGCGGGGTTACAGGGGTGGACTTAGTGATGTTTTAAGGGCAGTTTAACGACACTTACCGCGGTTCTCACGGTGTTAGCAGAATCCCCAGAGACTCTCCTAACCACCTTAATCAGAAATGTTTCCTCCACCGCATAATAAGAGTGACTTTAATCCGTGTTTTCCCAAGTTGT